CCCTTATCTGAAATGCTTGGGACCAAAAGTATTTTGGATCTCAGATTTTCTCAGATTTGGGAATTTTGCATTATACTTACAGGTTAAGCATCCTTAATCTAAAATCTGAAATGCTCCAATAAGCATTTCCTTTGAGTGCCATGTCAATGCTCAAAAAGTTTCAGATTTTGGAGCATTCAGATTTTGGGTTTTTGTATTAGGGATACTCAACCTTGCATATAATTCAATAATATAAATCCGATATCTTGATGTTACGTACTACTATAGTTTACTATCTAAAAAGACACTTAAAGTCATTTTACCAGAATTATCTCACCCTAAACTATAGCTGAATAAACCTCACAAAATATCTCAAGTATCAGCAGTTTGGGCAGTTGGATAGAATAGGTGTGTTTAATTCAGCAGAGAAACTGAGCCTTTAAACGTTATGAAGCAACAAGAACATGGTTATACATGTTACCAGAAGGAGGAAAAAGAGGCAAGTAACTTTCTGGAGAAGAAAATGTGAGAAAGCAGATTGGGATGAGTGTGGGTGGGGAAGTGGGCAGTTAAAAACCTCACCCATAATACAGAGATTCTAGAAAATATAGCGTAATACACAGTCATTCAACACACTCTTAGAGGTCCTAGCACTGAAACTCAATAGCTCTCTGCAAAGTGAACATCCATTTTGAGTACTGGGATATCTCTTCTCTCCAAGAAAATGTAAGAACCTCCTAAATCCTTCTCTTATGCAGGAACTAAATTGTGAACTGTACACTCACCAGTTGATTCTGGTAGGCAGTGACTGCCGTAAAAACTGTTTCTGGAAAGATGAAAGTTCTAAATTCTTCAGACTTCAGGTTGAGCAATGAGGCTGTGTGGTCTTTCTTCTTAATGATGTGCACCCTTGGCTGGTACTTATGCATTGAGTTCAAAATTATCTACAACAAAAAGATGGCAAGTACTGAATTTTACATACTTATACTGCTAAACAGGCAAAATTACAGTGAGGCAAGAACGAACCAAATGGTCTACAATTTCAAAGTCAATTTTAAGATATGGATCTACCCTTTCCAGCCTTAAGGCAAATCATTTTCACAAGATCCTGCAGAGTCATTGTTGTGAATCACATTTTACCAAAACAACTGCAAACCACACAGGTTGTTTCAAGTGTCCTTTCTAAAATGGTAGGGGGAGGGGTCATCTGAAGGATAAGTTTCACCTATTTTTAAAAATAGTCTTTTAAATACTTTTGGTTTGCTAGTCAAGTTAGACCAAAGGATGCAAGTCTAAATTTTCTAGAATAAGAAATCATATATTCTAAGAGGCCAGACTATTATTTATGGAGAAAAAAATAAAAGAGTTTAGAAAAGCAGTGTGGTGTTAGACAGACTTGGGTTAAAATTTTGAATCTGTCAGTTTCTAGCGCTTTAATCCTGAGCCAAGTAATCTCATCTCCCCAGTTCCTAGTTTTCTCACATGCAAAAACAGTACTAACCTCATAGGGCTGGCACACAGGAAACAGGAAGTGCTCAGTAAATGTGAACTGTATTATTATTAGTAATAGAAGGAGTATTTATGACAGCTTCCTTGATTTCTAACTTCCAGTTATTAAACCAAACTTGAATCATGATAGCCATCTTCCATTCTGTAGCCAGTAAAAGTTGCCAAGTACTCAGAAATCATAAACACACCCTCGTTAACAAGGCAGCCAAGAGATAGTATTTTTCATATATCTTTTAAATAAAATATAAAAGCTAGCCATTATGAATCAGGGCAATAAAATTCAATTTCAGATAGAAAAGGTTTCTCACATCTTCCCTCCTGCCATTCAGACAGCTATCTAAGTCTGCAAAAGTTGGGGGTATGTCTTTCTGGGGATGAGCAGGCTCACATTGTATGCCCTCCTCTCCAAGGAGCTAGCAGAGAGCGCAACTCTCAGGTGACATCACACGATAAACAGCCTGGCAGGACCAATGGCACTCTGCTGGTTGCTGCTGCTAGTCATGCAACTGATGGCTCCCTGGCTTTCTTGGCTAACCTGGGTGTGGGGCATGAGTGTTTCTGCCAATTGACTTTAGCAGAGTTGAATACTAGTCACTGTGGGATAACTGATATATAATCGCTCGCTCTCTATGCTGAGGTGTAAGCCAACCTAAAGTTACAGGGTTTCAACTGCGATTGAATTTTGAGCATGCTGCCTTTTTATGATCTCAAACTGGACCAGGAATAACTGAAACAAAGGAGATCTTTAAATGAATCAAAATAATGTTTTTGAATGATAATATGATCTCTTTGTCTAATGCATTTATTTCAAGGATTTCAAGCGATTGATCCTCAGCCAAACGCTTGAATAAAGTTGAAGTAACAAAACCAAATATTTTCCTCCTATCACTAAAATAAGAAAAAAATTAACATTCATCATATATTCTACTGAGAAGATAGGAAGAATTTTCACATCATACCCAGTCACCCATACATACACATACCAAAATGGAATATGCCCTAAGCTTTAAATAAGCTTCTTCTTTCCCCAGTTCTACCACCTGAATGTTAATTTCCTTTGGGGAAGGTTACTGGACAGACTCAGACACCAGACTGAGCCTCTAAGACCCCAGGGCTCCTTGACTCTCTGCTCAAGCCCTCCTGTGACTTGAGGACTAAGGAACACTAATAGAAATGTAGACTCTGCTTCACTCAAGAAATAATTCTTGAGAATAAAAAAGTTTCCTTTTCTGAAACTAAAGCTGCATCTGTAAGAGAGGCTTCTTCAGAACCTATTCAAAGAAGTTAGCTTAACAACACAGGATCTAAAAATCTTTCCTTGTATTAATAGTTTTCAGAATACACTAATTCTGGTGATAAAGGGTTATATTAAATATAATTTTTTGGGGGGACAGGGTCTTGCTCTGTCACCCAGGCTGACTTACAGTGGCACAATCAAAACTCGCTGTAGCCTCGACCTCCCAGGCCCAAGTGATCCTCCCACCTCAGCCACCCAAGTGGCTGGGACTAGAAGTGCATGCCACCACATCCAGCTAATTTTTTGTTTTGTTTCGTTTTCATAGAGATAGGATCTCTCTACATTGCTCTGGCTGGTTTCAAACTCCGCGGTTCAAGCAATCTTCCCAGTTCAACCTCTAAAGTGCTGGGATTACAGTGTGAGCCACCGTGCCTGACCAGTATAAAAGTTTTAAAGCTAAAATGCATATAAGCAACCATCTAAGACTAACCAGTTTTTTTAAGGTATAATCTTGGTATATCCAGGTTAGACCCTAGAGCTTCTGAAATCTAGTTTAGAGCTATTACTACCCAACGAAGCTGATGCTAAAAGAAAAGCATTTCAATTATGGACAACTGATCTCAAAATGGCTCTCAAGTATTTTTGGAAAGACTCAAATAATTCCTCTAAAAATTTCATATATAGAAAATTCTAGAATTGTAAAAGAATTTCATTTATCCCTGCAAAAATTTCCATTAAAGTTCAAGAAATTTTAATATAAATGACATTAAGAATGATCACTGACCTACAAAAAATCACTCCATACTTCATAAATTTTAACCTGTAAAAAAAAATTTATAAGTGGAAGCATATTTAAAAAAAAGAAAAGAAAATTATGCCAATAACCTTAAAGATAAAGATCAACTTTCTTTTTCAACACATAAAAAAACAGAAGCATATTAAGCTACTTCCAATATCCCAACAGCACCACCAGCAGAGTCCTGAGTTAAGTGGCTACCCTGACTTGGTTTTAATAAACACGGTCTCCTGTGGGCAGAGGGGTAGTGCTAGCGCCTAAAGTGATTTATTTGGTTCCAGGTCTAATCCAACCATTTGAAACCAAACCTGGAACTTTCTTATTGTCTACTTATGACCATCTTTGTTGAGAAGGTCTTCAAACACTTCCTCTAAATTGCACAGATTTGATCCTTACACATTGTATATATGTATTCAAATATCACATGTACCCCATAAATACGTACAATTATTATGTATCAATTAAAAATTATTAAAAGAAGAAAAAATTATGGAAGTTTATCTAAAGTTCTTTTAGCATAAAATCTAAGACAGAATTTTTATGTGAATCTTTATTTAAGAGCATGAAGTAACATCCCAGCAGTGCCTTAAAAAGGCATTTTATCAAATAGGTAAGGACCTGCATCAATGACTATTTGTTCTATTAAACTACTGATAAGAACACAGAGTTAATTTTTCTTTTTTCCACATTCATAAACTTTATACTGACACAAAATCAAATTGTTTTGTTTTTAATTACAGGGCTTCTTTATGCTTTAATATTCATGAAACTCTCCAAAAAAAAAAAAAAAAAAAAAAAAAGGTTACATAATGAGTAAACAGCACTTTCCCAAACTGATCTGGACATAAAATCCTTTTGTTATTTCATCTATATGTTCTATAGAACATACTTTGGGAAACCCGCATCAGAGGTCCTATCCCTATTCTCTTTAGGTTTTATTATCTGATATGTGGCTGACAGAAATTAGATGCTTAACCCAACAACAGACTATAGTAGCCTCCAAAAAATGTATATTCCCTTAGTTTACTTGGCTCTGGTGGTACAGCAATTTCAGAAGCCTAGGAGTTCCACAGGACAGAAGATCCCTGACCCTCTTGCATAGAAATGGCATACGGCATAGCATCCCTGTAAATGACCTATTAACAAAATCAGTCAAAGTCCCCTGAAGAACACATAAATGTTCCCATAAAATGACTCAGAGATAGAAGGTGGGAAGGGGAGAGGGAAGGCAGGAAGGGACTCAGAGAGAGACAGTTTTGTGTGACTTGTCCATTCCGTCTCAGGGAACCTGCACAGTCCAAGGCACGGTACTTACATGGCCATGTTGATCCAGTTCATTGTTGGTGAGTTTCACCTTTTCAAAAGACACCATCTGTTTGAGTAGTTGTTCCCCGGTGAAAGGAGAATCTGGGTGCACATAGAGCCTAAGAAAGTTAGGAGAAAACTATTGAGACTTTTTTTAAAAGTCTGTCTCTGTGGGTTATAAAATGTTCTAATTCTAAGGGAACACATAAACCATGTATAAGTGGTAAATTTTACCGTCCCATATATGTCAAATTTATTACTGTTGCAATGTCAAAACAACTCTAAAATGTCTAATGTATTTCTTCATGTACCAATTATCTAAATGAGATAATACTTAACAAATTTTCTATTAAAAGCTGAGCAAGCCATTTTTTAAAGGGGGGTGTGTGTGTGTGTTCATCTATCTAGTCCACTACTGGTCTGCTTTGATCAAACGCAAAATCTTCTTTTTGAAAGTGCTTTCAAAAGAAAAACTAGCTTACACTAATTGCATAAGTTCCTATTATAAACGTCTCTTAAATAACAATGAAAACGTAAATAATTTAAACGAGAAAATAATTTTAGAGAATCTATTTATTTAAACTTGAAGGTTTAAAGTTTGTGTTCTTAGTAAATACAAGACGGAGTAATTTTAATATAGGGACATGGAGAACTTCCAGTAGTCCAGAGACCAGCTGGCATTCTGTTCTTCCTGTTACATTAAACACTACCACTTTCACCATTATCTGTTTATGTGCTCACTGAATGAGAGTTAAAACAAGCTAGACACACTTCACATTATTCAATTTATTTATTTGTAAACAGTGCAAGCCAAAAAAAGCTCTCACTTGGATGGGAAAAATTTGTTTATCATTTATTGATCAGTTGCTACATGCAAGGCAATCTTTTACTCACTCACAGTTAAATGCAGGTCACTTTTTCTACCTGTGATAATCGACTTAAATGCAGCTCTTTGTAAGTCCCCATCCTGGTATCTTCTTGACTTAAGTCTTTCTGAAGTCAGAGAGAGACTACAGAACTAATGAGGGGGAAGCAAAATCCTTGATTTTATAGGACAAATTCCTTTATCCACGTAACAGGTTATTTACACCTAAATTTTATATAGGATCCTTATAACTACAATTAAACATAAATATTTTTACTAGGGCAAAAGCAAGGGATAGAAGTCATAAAATCTTCTTTGTACTATTCATGTAAAGAACAAGAAATCTGTGCCATGGTTTGTCACACAGAAGACTAAGAATAGAAGAATTCTATACAAATGTTTAAACTCACAAAGTCCACCAGGAGCAATGCACAAAAAGGTTGACAGCACCAAAGATTCTTACCAGACCTACAGAGAAACTGTAAAGGCTTCAGGCATTTGCCTGCCTGTTAATTCCACTGTTTTTAGGAGGAGTGCTCACAGTTGCCTTTCAATTATTCTTTGATAACACAATCACTTTTCAAGTACCATCCTTCCAAGACTATAGCTTTATAGGTGCAGTTGTTTTACTGATCAGAACCACATTCCTCCCTCTAAAAAAATTCAACATTATTTAAAGTCCTAAAGTTGATGAAATGTTCCCTCTTTAAGGATCACATTTACCACGTTATAGCTATTAATAAAATATTAATGTATTTAAATATTATATACTTTAAAGAAAAGGAGATGTCCTATATGAAAATGTAACATTATTTTAGATTGTAAGTAATATCTTGCTTATTATTACAATCAAGTGATACTGTCAGCATTATTTCTTCTGATTAGGAATGACTGACCAATGAACTTCAGCCTGAAATAAAACGCTTCAAAGTCCTAAAACCATGGGAAATTTTTGTCATCAGTACAAAAATTATCAACTCCCAAGTTCTTCGCTTTTCTCTTATGGAGACAGATAACTAGCAAACTATTTATTTTAATAATAATAAATAGTTGCTAAATTATCTATAATATTTTTATCCCATAAGCTAAACATTTTTATTTAATATCAATCTAAAAAAGCTGAACTAGGATGAATGAAAAAAATATACAGGAAGCCCCTCCTCTCAAGTCCCCCAGGGACTTAAAATTCCAGCAATAGCTTAAACATGCTTCAGTTAAGATAGTGTATTGGTACACACTTTTCTTCTCCAACCAGAGCAGATTAGTAACATAAACAGGGCATGTCATATTTCCAAAGTCCTGCTGGCCTGCATCAGCTCCCCATACCTTCAGATAGGAAGAAAATGTATGTTTAATAAGAGTGATTAACTTCTTAGAGGAAAGACTGGAAGGCAAAAAAAAAAAAAAAAAAAAAAGGAGGGTTTGCTTATACAAAATGGTTAGGAATCTGCTAAAATACTCTCTCCGGTTTAAAATGATATTGAAAAGTTTGGAAGGAAGCTCAAGAATAATAGTAAACTATTTAATAGTAAATAGAAAAGAACACTAATTTTATTAATTTTAATATCTATTATAAACTGGTGAATCTTACTCAACTAAAAAAAAAAAACCAGCAGCAATTGTTTTTTAGATTTTCTTAGTCTTGACAGTTATTTAATATACTGATTTGAAAGGGCTGGGAAGACGCCCTTTCTAGTCTCTTCCGAGAATGGAAAACTCTGAGAGATTGCTTTTAATCTCTTTTCTAGTGCACTTAGCATACGATAAGCTCAATAATACAATAAACTACTAATTAAGCTGAATATTCTATCTGAACCATATGTGTAATTGTCTGTTGATTCTCTGTCTTGACTATGACTCCAGACTAGACACAAAGTACCAGCCGTAATTTAACAGTTCCCTAATCTGTACATTTAAATAAATTCTTAGCTCTGATATAAACTTTCAATCAATCACAAAAAGTCATTAAACAACAAAAATTACTCATTAAACATAAACAACAAAAATTAGTCATTAAAGAAAAGTTATGAGGCTGGGTTTTAAAATCCCAAATATAAAGTCAGCAAATATGTTTTGTTTTGTATTAAAGTAGGCAGTTACATTCCTGTAACTTCATCTATTATTCTTCATATAAGCAAGTGTATGTTTTCCTGTTAGAATGCTCATTTGGTTAAAACAATAACAGTAAAGGTTTGCATGTGCTTTTTTAAGGATGGTACTCCTGGAAAAACTGTATTAGCAATGAATTTCACAAGAGTAAATATGCATGATCCCTAATAAGTTAACTGAGGAATGTTTCATGTAAAAGAACCTGTTATTGAATTACATTCATCCGCTAAAATTATAAAGGGAGAAAATAAAACTTAGCTTTTTTTTTTTTTTTTTACTTAAAAATCTCTGAACCTTTATTGGTCAAAAACAACTGAATTTTACCTAAATGGGTTTATTATATGCAGTTATAACTATATGATTAACAAATACTATAAGCAACCATTTTACTAACATACACTCTTCTAAAAAGAATTTTAGGACAACCATTTCATCAGTAGGTTTATTCCTCTGGTTTTAAGCAGCAATTAGAGAGGGTGTCTATATTTATATTTATATTTATATTTATACAAAATGGGTCCACATTTCTAACTGAAATTTAAGAAAAACTTTGAAATGAATTGCTGCCTAACGAAACATAAACTTAAAGACAGTGTTTTCTCTATGCACCAACTACCTTTCTTAGAGCCTAGCCCATATTTTGTGTAGTCAATCCTGGAGTGTCCAGGCTTGGAATGCTCTCTTGCCAGAGCCCGTTGCTTTAAAAACACACTTGCTTAAAATTCACACAAGCCAGAAACATTCTGACAGAAGCGTTAACAATTTTCTCGGTGAAAAATCCGGAGGCACGAACCTGGCTGGCAACGGCGGGTCGGCTTTGCCAGCCACCAGCCAGGAGGACCGGTGGTAGGCGTAGCGGTACCTCTTGTTGTCCACAGGGACGATGTCCATCAGGACTATGTACTTGGCCTCAGGATCCACCCCCGAAAAGGACACCCGGATGGTCGGAAACATCCTCCTGACAGAGAGAGACAGAGAATGGGCCCTGTTTATGCTGCCTAATAAACTGGCCTGAATTAGGAAGAGAGGAAGGGAGGGAGGGAAAGGGTCTGACTCCCCTCTCTATCCGGTCCACAAACCCCTCTTTTGTTTTGTTTACAGCCTCAGAGAAGTGAATACAGAGACAGGGTTTTCTTCCAAGCCTAGATAATTTTAAGAGTCACCTTTGCAAGTGTTAATTGCTAGGTGAAAAGGTGTGGGTGGAGGTGGGGGTATGTTTTAACACCAGAAGGTCTGTGATTAGGGGAAACCCTATTCATTTTAACGATCAAGCACTTTAAGTGTCCAAGGAACCCACGTCCCTGGAGCTGGCCCAGTCACACAACTTACCCGCATCCCAGCCAGAAAACTCTGCTCTTGCAAAACAAAGCCAAAAGCCGAGGTTTCTGGGAAGGATTTCTCAGAGACCCTGCAGGTATTTTCTGCAGTCCCAAGAGCTAGAGCCACCAAGTTTTGCCGGCCTCTGCCCCATCCCAACCTCCCTGCAGCCCTGCAGCTTCCTGCCTGGCCAAAGCCCGCCCGGCTCTGGCGCCAAGAGGCCCCGAGCAGTGCTCCTTCCTACAGGGAATTTTATCGTTTCAAATTTCATTCTTCCGCCCAGGTTTTAATTTCAGTCTTTAATGGGAGCTGGCAGCTTTTGCAAATTGAGGCTGATAAAAGGGAAGCTACTCACCTATCTAGAAGCACCCAGCAGCTCACCAGGCACCCCTGGCACAAATTCCTCCTCCTTCCAGATCCTGACCCTCCACCCACCAAACCTTCTCCAGCTCCAGGGAAAGCAGACCACACCCTTCAGGCTTAGTGTGCCTCCCTGGTCCCTGTGCCCTTCTCAACAAAGGCAGGGTGGAACTTCCCATGACCAAATCCTGAGAACGCAAATGACTAGACATCCTGTAGCTCTTAATGCAAGCTGGTGGAAAGAAGCTGCCCTGGAGCTCAGCTGTCTCTCTGCTCCACGACCAGCCAGCTCTCATCCAGTTCCTGGAAGCACCCTCAGCTCCCCAGGGAGTGTCCTGACTCTCTACCCCCAACCGCCAAGTCCCAACTACCTGCCAGACTTGGTGATGATCATCTCGGTGCCCAGCTCATGGAATTTGTCCCAAAGCTCCTTGGTTTCCAGGCTGCAAGCGATTTTGGCCATTTCCTCACTGGGGATGATGGGGGTGGTGGGGATCAGCGGCTCAGTGCACAGAGAGGAGGAAGACGGGCTGCTGCCACCGCCTCCACCAAACTCCCCATGAGCATCCAGGCTGGTCAGCTCACCCAGAGGCTGGGCACAGGACGACTTCTCCACAAATTGCTCTGGAGGCAAAGAGAATTGTGAATGACAGCTGACACTGTTCAACAAGGAACGATCCGGAAAGAACAGCATAACCAAAATGGTCACTTGGATTTGACTCAGGAAAAGTTAAGCTCAGAAACTCCAAGCAGGGTTCTAGGAATGACCTATCACTGTATACTGTATAAAATTACCTGGGATTCCCACAGAGTAGCATGCCCAGTGTTTCCTGACCAAATTGGTGAGTTCTAGAATGACTACTTGTCTCCACCAGTACTGCAACCGACTTTGGGAAACAAAAATGTAAGAGAGGAAGAAGGGAAAGGTGATGATCATGAGGGAAAGGTGATGAGCATGAAGGATGCAAAGTAAATATTCCTATTGTCATCTCTCCCAAATTCTGAACTTTGTAGCTCGTGGAACTGATGCCAGTCCTGCCTCTTTGACAACCAGGAGAAATTTTTCTCCATGGAGAGACCAAAGGAGCAAAGAGATCAGCACCTTCCTCACTTGGAGAGGAACTTTCCCTTCCTTCCTGGAGCCCTCTCTCCATAAGAGAAAAGGAAAGGAGGATAGGAGGGTGAAAGAAAAATGGGGAATGTTTAGTCACTTCACCTCTGTGCCTGACTTTCAGTTTTGTAAGCTTTATGATGAGAGTTAGAACATTTTTGTAATATTCCTCCCCAGCCCGAGATCTTATGAAAGATGTTAGCGTACAGCTTGCTAAATCACAGGAGCAGGTTCTGTGGGCCATTTTCAGAAGAGGCTTAGAAGAATTACTTGAGGGTGATGTATAAAATTTTTCTGTCTCCCAAAAAGGTCCTAGAAGTGAGGAAAACCACCTCAAACCCAAGCCAGCAGTGTATTAAAGTGAGAAGAATGCTCCGCCATCCACCACCAGGCTGGAATACCGCTGCCTGTGAACCAAACATTCTCCCCCACAGCTGATAAGGGCCTCGGACTACACCAGTCACTTTGATGGAATACAGGGAGACTTTTGTAATTGTCCCAATTATCTTCCATCCCTTAAAAAAGAAACTACTTGAATTTGCAATGTGAAGTTGATCTCTTAAGAGTCCTCAAGAAATCAAAGCCAGTTCTAAATGTATGTATGTGCATGTATATGATGTGTGTGGGCATATGGGACACACACAGATCATAAGGTGTTTTATTTCCTACACATTTTTGCATGAAGAAAACAGGAAACAGAATGGTTTTACTTTTACTTCTCATGCAATGATAATCCAACCAATGAAAATGTTTTAACTTAAGAATAATCAAATTAACTGCCATCCTGATTTTTTTCAGATTAAAGAAAGGAAACCATACCATAACAAAATCTTATTTTCTACTAATATTTTCAGAAACACATTCACATAAAGTCTTCGGAGAGAATGAAGTAGTAGTCTTAATGATTTTTTTTTTTTTTTTTTTTTTTGCTGACAACTAAAAGAGGCAAACTCCCTAAGCCACAGACTGACCAATGCATCAGGATGGGAAGTAGGAAAGGAAGAAAACGAAATAGAAATGATTCAGCGGACTGAAGCTGTTCTTTTAAATAGACTTTGCATGTTTAAATGGGCAATCCTGGGACACACTGGAATCCCCCTCCCCACTCTATAGTTTGCTTCAACAAAAGTCCCACATTCTCTCTTAACAGAACTTTTAGGTGTTTTTCTTGCTGGAGTCCTTGGCTTGCAGTCACCTCTGTGGAACTGGCCAGTGTAAGGAACAAGAACACCAGTTCTTTCAGAGCCCATCTCAAAAGCCAGGAGAGGGATACGCATTTTATAGACTAGTGCCTACGTGTGTGTGGGCATGGGGGTGGCGTTGGAGTTGTCAGCTGGGCATGGCTTTAAAGTTCAAGGGTCACAAACTTCGATATAAGGTGGTTTTTCTCAGAAAAATAAAGAGAGAAGGAAGTAATGTTGAAATGACAGTGCAGCTGGGCCTGGCATGTTTCCCAATTTGCTGTCTACACTTCTGTCAGGAATTGTCACCTGAAATCCTCTTTTCCTGCTATGTAACAAACTGAGATATTTGCAAAGTATTCAGGGGCCCCTAAACAGCAATGCATAATGTTGAGAAGTCGCACAATATAACTTTGAAATTGTTAGTTATATTTTTCTGAACAATTGGAGTTTGTTTGATTGATTGTCTCCATTCTTTGGCAGGTTTATATTTAGATGGGAGGTCAGTGGGAAGAACCAGGGGAAGGGAGTGAAAACTTGGAAGACAGATTTTTTACTTTTATTTTTTTGACATTCTGTTTTCTAGAAATCTACTAGTTTCTTTTTCCTTGGTTTCAAGTAGCTACAGGAATTTTACTTCTCTCTTTATGCCCAAGCACCTTATTTTTGATCTCGAATACTTCCTTTTCTTCATGTTATCATTATTTTGGATGTGATATGTTAAAGTATTGGGAAGGACAGAGAGAAGAAAAGAAAAATTGGGGAGGGTTAAAAAAGAAAAACTAAGTTTGCTATCTGATTTTCACATTGTAGGGATACCAGATGATCAGGCTGTGTAATAATTATTTCCTGAGGATCCATGAGGCAATGATGAGAATGCTTTTTTTTCTCTGAGTTGTAAAGAGATTTTTAAATATTTACCTTGGGCTGGTTCTCTTCCATGTAATTCACTAGTGTTAAGAAGAACATAATTCCTATTCTCCCTTTACTCCTAACCTAGTGTCTTCTATAAATGGTAAAGGTTGTTAAACAAACAATATAACTAAAAGTAGAGAAATGTGAGAAATGGTTACTGGTTAGTGTTTTTGCCAACCTCAACTGAAAATGACGAGTTATAAAATGATGTCTTGGTGATAAGTATAGAGCTTCAGTGAATAAAATGGTTCGTGCAGGGAGAACTGGCTTTTTCTGCTCTACAGTGGTTTCAAAGAGCTTGCTTTGTTTTGTCTATTCAAGTCAGACGAAAACCAAAATTAAACTGGTTTCTTATGAAGTCGTTTAGCGTCTCCCTGGTTTCAAACGCACAAGCAGGTGTTACATGCACAGTAACTCCTGTTGAGCCTTAAAAGCAGTTTTATTATTATTTTTCCTTGAATGTTTTTATGCCAACAAACATACACACATACCATATGTCCGATCTGATATATGGATTCTAGAAACTGGGGAGCCCGACGGGCCCAGATATAAGATGCACACCCATAGCATTCAACAGACTGGAGCCTCCAAAGAAAACCTGGACCCAAAAGAAAAAAATCTCCCACCCGCGATGTATGGCTCATGATTTGAGCATCAGATGCTGCTGCGAGCCGCCTGCAGCCAGGGGACAGGGGCAGAGACGGATGCGCAGCACCCCAAGTCCTCGGCGGACAGCCGGGTAGCCCAACTTACCCAGGGGTTTGATTGTGTTCTCCGTCGCCTCCTTCTCCTTAGAGCCGCCGCTCGACATGAGTGCGGCAATGGAGAAGGCGTTGGCCCGGGAGGAGAGTTGGGGCTTGGGCGATGTCGTGAACTCCATGGTCCCCAGCACGCGGTCCTGGCCAGGGACTGGGTCGTCCGAACTGCCGTCCAGATTCCCCAATGGAGACAAAGACCCGAAACACAGCGCAAAGTTTCCGAGACCAGTTACAGCGGGGCCAGGGACTCCAGAAGTGTCAGCTCCAATCTCTCCAGAGCTGCACACTGGCCTCTATCCCCCACCGCAAAGCCCCAGAGCCGCAGAGACTTCGAGGGCAGCCGGAGAGGAGAGGGCCCACCCAGCACTACAGCGGGTGCGCACGCCCCGGGGCGCTCGGCAGGACGACAATCTGCACAGCCCAAAGGCGGAAACAAGCATCAACTGCACAAAGTCCTGGGGTCCTGGAGCATTCCCTCCGTGTCCTTCCTCCCTCTGGGGCTGGGGACAGCCGGGATGTCTCAGGCTAAGGTAGCCACCAGCCGAGCGCGGCTGCTAGGGCGCGAGCGAGGGGAGCGCGGCGCGGAGCCACCGACACTGAGCGCTGGCGCTTGCTGCCCTGCGCCTTAATTTGCTGGCGGCGGCGATCCCGGAGGCCCGCAGCCAGTCAGCGCAGTCCCACGTCACCGCTTCCTGATTCCGCCGCCGGGGGCGGGGCCGCGGGCCGGGTGCTGAGGGCGCGCCTAGGGCGCGGCGTCCGCGTGGCCTGTAGCCCCTGCTGTACCGTAGCCCCGCACAGGTTCAGAGAAAAGGGTGCCTCCACTAGGCTGACGCAGCGGCCATGGACACCCCCGCCTGGTCTCGCAGCCCCGGGCGGGAGGGCGGTGCGCGCTGTCGGGAGACGACCCATCATCGCGGCCTAACGCCCGCGATCCGGGCATGGCCCAGTTGGGGAAGCTATGACCAGACCAGAGGAAGCCTCGGGAGTTCTCGCTTTTTCCATTCTTTTTCTTACCTGCGCTCAAAGTTCCAAAAAAAAGTAGGGAAGCGCTCACTAGAGCGGAATCCGGCGCCTCTGAACCGGCGCCAACTGGCCAGGTCCATACTCGGGGCAGATCCCAGAGCTGGGACTGTCGTTCGATGGTCCCAAATTTGATCTCCTTGACAGTGGGGCTGAGCAAATGCAGCCCTGAGAAAAATAAGCTTAGCGAGAGCTGCGGGCATTTGGCAAAGGATGCTGCTCTCAGAACCGTTGCTTCTGCTCCTCACCAGTGCGTCTCTAACCTGGGGCTCCTCTTTTCCCTAGAGGGACCCTGGAAAATGGGGCGGCTGCCGAAAGGAAGGCGAAGGTCAGGGCGCGGAGCCCTACAGTGACCACGCGACGCGCCGTGGGAGAGTGCGAACCTTCTGGTAGCGCCCGGACTAAGCGGACACGGACCCCTCTGGTTTTACAAAGGCGGCTGTGACCAGGACTTCCCACGGCCTTGTTGGAGGGCGTCCTATTAGCCCTACTCAGCCTGAATAACTCAAATTCTCTGAATTCGCAGGGTAATCCGCTTCGCTTGGAGCCGTGTAAACTCAGGCTGACATACACACTCAAGCTGTACATGTAAATATTTGTTCTCTTTTCCAGCCAGTTGGTCTGGCTATTAGAAGCCTCTTCGTGGATCTTAATAATAATAATAATAATAATAATTTTTAAAACCCCAACTTTTCACTGCATCACCCCTTACTCCTGAAATAAATTTGTGGGGGAAAAACGGCAAGTTAAAATAGCTGTCGAAAAAGTTTGTGTGAATAAAATGACATCTGGAAGAGTCGTGCTTTCAGCCTGTCTTGGTCATCGTGTAGCAATAGTTTTTAACAAGGTGCTGGATGAAGGTGACTAAAAAATGCATCCTGATATCACTATAGAAGTTCGAAGTGTCGATTTATAAATGTTTGGGGAAATTCGTAAAACCATAGACTTTGCTGCTGGAAGGAATTTACGCTGTCGTCTAGCCGGTCTCCAGGTGCGTTTGAGAGAGAAAAACAAGGCCCGACGTGGCAGAGCGCGCATCTCCCCCCAGTCCACTCCAGCGGCTAAAAGCAGATGGAAGGGCAGGACTCACACTCCGGGCCCCACCCTGATCAGTCCCTGGCCCTGCAGCTGTGGCTGGGCTGTTAGCTGAAGAGCCAAAGTAGAGTTAACGACGGCTGGCAAGCAGAGGGCTTTCAGATTAAACCACAGGATGCGTCTGAGGATCCGTTTCTATTCTTGAATTTTTTGCTGGTTTTGGACAACCCAGACCCAATCCAGACCCCTTTTTTGGTTATTAAAGTCCCCCACCCCAACCCATCTCTCCCCAGACACACCTTCTCAATGTAAGTGACATTTCTTTGTATTGAGTGGAAGGAGCACACTGATTCCTTTCCTATAGCAAATGCTTAGGATTTGTCCAGAAAGAAAGATTTCCCTCAAGAAGTGGGGATTTGGGGAGGTCGGGGGATGTTATGGTTAGTCTAGACCTTTATACATGCTTCAACAGGACGTGGCAAACCTTGTTAGCTGAATTTAGTTTTCAAAAACTTGCCGCAAAAGTATACTTCATTAAAAAAACCTTGCGATTGTTTTTCTATACAGAGGAAAACTGTGTCCTTTCTTAATTACCTTAATGATTCTGACTGGAATCTGAATAATATCATGAGAGGAACATTTTCAGAAAATCTGATGAAGCAAGGGGAAAACTGAATTGCCACGAATCTGTTTCCTCCTTCTTTCCAAGTGCCTACGCGGCCTTAGCCCAGCTCTGTGTCTCTTGTGTGCAGGAACCCCCGACTGCTCATCCTACTACAGGTAAAACACTATACAAGAAAAGATGAGTGATCTTTAGGGGGCAGGCGGCAAACGAGAGGTATTGAAAAGGCCACTTTAAACAAATCCGGGTGACCCGTTTGGGGATCTCTAGGCTATGCATCTTGTTGGTGTTGAAACCTCAGCAGTAAAACATATGCTGCAACATTATTATCGGGAGCACACTCTCCCTCCTCCTAGATTTATTGCCTTTGCAAATCAATATGATGCCATAAAACGGGGAACCGGTTCTGGGCAGAGAGGTGCTGTGGAAGGATAATTCAAAGCCTTCCCAAAGAGGAGAGTGGGGAGTTCTGAGGTCCCTTCAAAACCCCACTGACAGCGCAGGTTAACAGGTAAAACCACCCGGGGGCTGGAACAAAACAAGCACATTAACTCACCTCTCTAGGCCCTTCTCAGGCTGACTGCTGGCAGCGGAGGCTGCTGAAGTCTGAATGTTAACTTTAACACACGCATTAGCCTGGAAACTTTGTGTAGGTTACTAAACCTCTCAAAGCTTCAGTTTCTTCATCTAAGTTAGAATAGGGCCAATAGCTCATTCCTACCTGGAATTTGCTATTCCTTTGGATTAATGCCCTAATGTGTATAAAAAGCCTAACATATAACACTCACAATAAACCCAACATAAGTAAAGCATAATA